ATTTTATCTATATATTATGCGAGACAGCATGAATATGTACAGTGACGCGGAGACAGGATGTTTTGCGAGATTTTCCACTGCGCTGTATTGAACGACGCGAAATCGAATCAAGTGGACGACGATTTTCGTTACGTCAACTTGAAGATTCTAGACGCGTGTTTACTTAACGATTGAGCAATTGCTTGATAGCGTAATAATGTCGTTGCCTGCGGTCCGCCGACGTTTCTAAACTAATCCCCTGACAAGACGATTACGTCTGGTTTCACCAAAGTCTTTTGCCGAAACTTTCGATATGAATTGCCTTGATCAAACACGTTATTTTTGGATTATCAAAATGTTGTAGACAAAAATTTTTATAATTTTGCCGAACCGAAGTTTTCGCACAAAATTTAGGTCCATATTCTGAACTCACTCTTGTTAGTAAAAATATCTTAAGGGTGTATTATATCTATTTTTATTTATAATGAACAAATTATAAAACAATTATAGGTTAAATTTACAAATTTAGTAATATTAACAATTTAGTAATACTAAAAATTTTGCGGCGATTTAGAATTTGAATAAAAAATTATTTAAATAAAGATAGAAATGTGCTTTAATAGAAATGTAATTAAGAAATAGATGAAAAATCTCAATTTATATAAGTACTTATACTTTATATAAATACTTTAATTTATATTCAAGATGATTCATGTAAAATGTTTCATTTTAATGCAGAAATTAATTATTCTGTAAATAAAAATTAAATTTTTATTTACATATACAGTCTAATTCCTGCATCGCAATGAAACTTTATATAAATAAACTCGAATATTTAAAATATTTATATAAAAGATTGAAATTTTTATCATTATTTCTTAACTATATTTTTAAGCACATTTTTACTTATTTATTTAAATAATTTTTTATCCAAATTCTAAACCACTAAATTTTTTTATATTATTTTTAAATGTAATGTAGAATAATCTGTAAGTTTTTCAGAAGTTTTTTTATTGTAAATATAAAAATTATAAAGATAGACATGTCCTTAAATATAATATATAACATGTCCTTAAATGTGACTTCTCAATAAATCAGATAGCTTTTGAATCACTTTTAGACGCATTTTTATCGATAACAAAGTGAATTGAGAATACCCTAGTTAAAAAAAAAGAAAATATCTTATTTTGCAACTTCTTTTTCGCTCTCGCAAATCTCTTCATTCCCAGGCGCGAAGTATCTCTCGTTGTCTTCAATCACCGGCGAACGATTTCGCGCTGGGTAATTACGATCTTATCCACTTCCACTTGCACTCTATCCAGGTCTCACTTTCCTCGATGCAAAAGGGGCGACCTTTGCAGAGGTCGCCGCTCAGAGATCACGCTCGAGTTTCACCGGCAGCGCTCATCACCGCGCGACCGTCGATTCCCTCGGCGCGAGGTTGGACGATCAATTCCCCGCTTCCTTCTTCCCGCGTTGTAGCTGAATTAACACTGCGAGCGACGTTTGTTGTACCGGACGAGATTACCGTGCGAGAATACGAGTGCGAGGTCCGTATTGTTTCGCGGACATCGCCGCTGATGCATAAGTTAACGGCAACGTGAGCGAGGCTTTGTTGCCATTAAAGGGAACGGAGTAAAAGCAGCCTTACGTCCGGGAGGAAGA